AAGTAATCCAAAGGTATGCCCCAAACGACAACAAAAACAGTTAAATAGAAGAGCAACCATTCGACAACAGAGTAAACAAGAAGAAGTAGAATAAAAGGCATGGAGTTTGGTCTTACCTGTTATGTAAGACGCGCACTTTATTACGCTTCCTAAATGATGATATCATTAAAGACCTTTTAGTCTACAAAAGCACAATGAAACTGTAAAGACTAAATATTTATTTGAGGATCTTGGCAAGTTTATAACTGAAACTGATTTGAATTGAAAAAATATTGTTCGCAGCAAAACACCGTATGCTATGTGAATCCATTGCCGCAGTAAAATACATAAATGTTAAAGCATTGAAAGCCAGATTTTACAAGAAATGCACTCTTTCTACAAGTCTGGGTTCAAGTATTTTTCCAAGCTTGACTTTTTGCTGCATACAGCTTCTTTTGCGTAATACTTAACAAACTGAATACTTTGAATTTGTGTAGAAGAAGATTTTAACATACACATTATAAGTTTTTTAAAAGAGCTTAGGACACTTAGGTTGTGGATAAGAAAAATCAACGATTCTTGCGGTCAATACTATTTTGACTTGTTACTTAATAATATCGCAAGATGCAGTATTTGCACAAGATTTTCATGTTGTAATTTTATGGTTTTTTAATAAAATATGATCATCACGTTGTGAAGTTAATTGATGTTTTCAGTTCTGTGTCTGATCATTGCATATTGCAGCGAACCAAGTTTGGGAACTTTCCACTATACGGTATCGTAAGAGAAGTGACAGACGAGGCAATAGCTATTTCTATATCTACAATGGGAAGAATACATTAATAGAGGAAAGACAAATATTTTTCTTGCGATCACGTTTATGTACTTTTTCATCATAAATACTTTGAAATTTATTTTCGTAAGTAATCTAGGATTGATTTACAACCCGCATTAACTGCTGGATACGGAAGAATTTCATACCAAGCTCAAAGACAATGCTGCATTTTATGTATGGTCTGAGCAAACGAGCAATACATGAATTATCCACGGATACCTTTTTAAATCTGTTAAAAAGGCGAAAAGTAAACGCGAAAAATCTCGGAAACCGAACGAGCTAAATTAATAGTTGGATTAATCAGCCAATAAATTGGTCAACAGCCATAATAATATCGAGAGCCTTCAACTGCTTAGAAACCCTATGAAAAAGGGTAAAAAATCATGGGTAAAATTTGATTGCGACTTTGTTTCAAAGATGTCTACTTCCAGGAGTTTCTTGAAGTTCCTCGTCTATCCCATTCTATCATTCTTTGGGAAGAATGATTTACCCTATATGGGGGAGTCCTCAACTACCAGCGGAAATGTATTCTTTTTGGGACAGACAAAATGATCACCTTCCGTTACGAACGTAAGCATAATAGTATATTAACAAACTAGTTTCGTAAGACACGCTTGAAATGCACGAATACAAGTTGAAAAATGAGTGGCGCAGCCACGAGTTTTTTAATGAATGCGTGCTTTAAGTCTTACGAAACATGTTTTTATGCTATTTTTTGTAATTCGCGTTTTTATCCTTTTTTCTTAACAAAAATAAAATACATTTTGACCATGTAGGGAAATAGGTATGTAACAGTTGGTAACACCATAACACTTGAAAATAGAAATTTGAATTGACAATTAGAAAGTGTCAAAACACAAAATGTATTCACCTGAAAGAAATGTTTCATGTACACCTCCCTCATACGAACTTAATGGTGGATTCTAAAATGCAGTAACCCAAGAGCTGTGTCAAGAGTTGAGGTTGCATTCCACACGATTATTTGGATTAATAGTTACAGATTTCTTTTTATTTCTTTCTAATTACAACACTTTGGTACAACACCATAACACTTGAAAATAGAAATTTGAATTGACAATTAGAAAGTGTCAAAACACAAAATGTATTCACCTGAAAGAAATGTTTCATGTACACCTCCCAAAATAAGAGAAACGCTCACAGTTCAATGTCCTCATCATTGTGGACCTTGTATTCGATGCTTAGAACGTGTTTAAATATCCATAGACAAAAATTGTCACATTGACAACTAGAAAAATTAATGACCAAATGTCACCAACGTGAACGAGTTCCATAAAATGTTACTAAAATCTCATTACAGCATCGAAAATACATTCTAGTGAGTCTAATACCTCACTGGGTTGACATTCTGAAACGACGAGATGGAGATTCTTCCAACTACAACTTATTGCAGAACTAGATGCTCTCCAAGAACGACAAGGGGAATACAAACTTAATGGTGGATTCTAAAATGCAGCAACCCAAGAGCTAGGTCAAGAGTTGAGGTTGCACTCCACACCATTATTTGGATTAATAGTTACAGATTTCTTTCTAATTACAACACTTTAATTTGTTTACAATTATTTCAAGTGTTTAACCCTTTACAATTATCTCCAGAGGCTTTTGCCACTTATAGAAAAGAGAACGATTGAACAGATTGGTATTCTTAAACATTTGCTGGTTAAATAGTTTTAATACAAACGTGTTTCGAGAAACATTAATAACTTTTGGAAGCTCTCAAGAAAGAATTTCAATAATATCTCTAAGATTATTTATTAAAATTGGTTCGTGAGAAAGAAGTTAAACGTAATTATGATCCACTAATACAACTTTAAACAATTTTGTTACATTAAATATTGAACATGAATAAACAGAAAATATTAGTCTTGACTATGTAATTTTTGCTTTCGCAACTTTTAAAACCAACAATAGGATGTTTTATATTTTTGTTCTGTTTCATGATTTTTATGTAATTTTTTTAACTTTATGTTAACTTAAACAGTTCAATGATGGATAATATCGCAACCGATTCTACGCCACTATTATACATATATTTCTTAATAAATAAGAATAAGTTAGAATATTACAACTTTTGCTCTTAGTTTTAATTCAATAAAAAAATTGAAATACGAAAATTTTCAGAAACAATCAAAATCGAATTGAAAAGTACATCCAATCAATTTAATGCCATTCTCTCGGTTTACATTAAATAATTTTTAATAATGATTCAGCACGCAAACGTCTAATTAAGCAACATTCGCTCAAAAACTAATTTGGTATCTATTCAAAAGAAAAAATTCGTTTAAAATCTTCACATATCAACGGTCATATACGTAACACAATTAAAACCAATCTTTCACCGTTTCCAATTAACTCGGATCGTGAACAGATCGTTAACCCCAAATTCAAAGCGAGAAATAAGTTTAATAAACAAGATAGTGAATATTGAGGGAACTTTGTATATCAGACACCCTGAAATATAGGCAACCCAAACTTCTGTTTGAATTCGGTTTAAGATTTAAAGAAAACTACTTCTTTGGTTTCAAGGGATAATATATATTATATTTAAATAAATATATCTTTTCGACATCTATATACAATATCTACACAATCACGCGTACAATATCGTATTTAATTAAAATTATTAAAATATGTCCAAAAATAGATATGCGGGGATTTGTTAATTAATTCTCATGCATTAAATAATTTATTATAATTCGATTATGACTAATATTAATTACATCATTTGTAAAAAGTACTTACAAATGAGATTAACTTTATAATAATTACAAAAAAAATGATATTTCTAAGATACCAAATCCTTTTTCCTTTTAGTAATTGTTTCACTCTTTTGGTGTTTTTGATCGAAAGTGTTACCTGAAGTTGATTGTGTCGGTAGAGGATGTGGTGGTGGATAGCAGCTGTTAAACAACACCTATAACCAAATAAAATAGTCTAGTAAGAGATATGAACTTTGATTATAGGGTCGTAAGTTCAAAAATGAAAAGCTTCGGTAAGAATAAAAGCAAGGGTGTTAAATGGACAAGAATTTTAAAAGCATAAAGTATTGATTGCATGTGCTTACATTAATTATTCATATTAATTTAATTAAAACCAAGAGCAATATGTTGATGTAATGATTCATTTATACAACCCTATTTTCATCTTTTTTTTTAAACTAACAAACAAGTGCATTGACTTACCTTTAATAGTCCAAATACAATTTTTAAATTCATGCTCATGCTTAATCGATAGCGAATACTTTTAGCATTAACTAAAAAAGCTATCTCATTATTAATATTACAAACTCACTTTAGCACAATGTGTTTATTAACTATATTATTAATTAATGTGTTTAGTTAATAATAACAAATAACACACCAAACAAAAAATTAATATATTCGACGTTTATTCTTTAATCAGTAAAAATAAATTACTTACATAAATACAATATACACTAATATTACAAAAAGAAATGATAAAGTTTACAATTTCAGGATGGGATGTTACGTTACTAGAGCTGCTATAAACGATAAGAAAAGTAGGAATAACCCGAGAACGGTAACAACGTCGATGTTAACCATTTGGTAGGTGCATGCGAAACCGTATGAACATGCAAAAGCTAGCGCTAAAGGATCTATGCACCAGGCATTATTCGAGTCTAAATGATCATCAATATTATTCCGTTTTTTTTCGTTATTACTATCATTCATAACCGGCTGATTTTTCTCTTTTTTATCATCTAAAACGTTTAAAGTCTTTGGAAAACTTTGTTTTGATGTTGAAGGAAGAACTACGGAATTATTAATGCAATCTCTAACCAATTGGGGTGATTTCAAGTCAAGTAAAGGACCAGAAAATGTGGGATTTTTCCCATCGAGATGATCGTCATCAATCGGGTCATTATCAGAAACCGAATTACTATGAAATCCCGAACTATTTGGAGAACCGTTTAACATTAATCTATTTAACATTGTGGCGGTTTCTAAACAATCGGGATCCGTAGTTTTTACTTCATCATCGTTTTCAATTTTTCGTTCAGACTCTCTATTAAATATAATATCACAGCCAGATACATAATTAATTATATCTCCATTTTCGGACACCTCAACAAACGATTCTGTTAAGAAAGCGCACTCTTTGTCTTCTTGGGTTAAAGCTCTACTCTTAAAAACACACTCTCTCTCACCTTCTTCACCAGTTTTTGATTCACTGTCGTTCTCATCGTCATCAATATTCTTGAGATCTTGGAAACCAGCGATTAAATCTGCGTTGAGTTCTTCATTTGGCGAGATGCATTTTATTTCTTCCACGGATTCTTTGAATGAATTGGGGATATCTTCTACTTCAGCGTCTGTATGTATGTTGACATAATCGTGGTCGGAAGCAGAACCTAATTCTTCAATTGGTTGAGATACGTGTTCTTCAGGTTCGCAAAACAAAACAAGATTAGCCACCGATTTATGTTCTTCAGTATCTGAAGCGATTTTTTGTAATTCTTCCATTTGCTCATCAACATCTTCTTCAACTGGAAGTAACTCCGATGTTGCTAAAGGAGCTAATTTAATATCTTCAGAAACGATTTCAATTTCTTTCCCATCTTCTAATTTTGGTGAATTTTTTCGAACTAAAGCAGGTGATTTTAATTTGTTATCCTTTTCTTCTGTTTTATGATTTGATTTGTCTCTGATTTCTTCCGCGATTCTTTGGCTTGCTTCTTGAGCTTCTACAGCGAAAGCTGTTAAAAGATCGTCTAAAGAATTCCTGTGGTACCCATCTTTACTCAAATCACCTGGTGATGTTTCTTTCGAACTTTTTCTTTCTGGGGTAACACCTCGCGGTGGTTTAGTTTGGAGATTTTCTTCTTTTCCAACTTTAACTAAAACCCTTTGTTGAAGTTCTTCTTGTTTCGATTTCATGCTATTCAAGAAATTTAATCTACTTTCATTGATTTGATCGTTAGCCTCTTTTCTTTTATATTTCGCTTCGGTATCGCTTAAAAACGCACGTCTAGTTGCACTAATTTTTTCTTCTTTTTCCTTTAAAATTTGTCTTGCGATTTCCATCGCATCCGCGATATCTGCGAGATTGGGTTTTTCAAAAGCTTTCGGTTCCTGTTCTTCTTCATAAAATGATGTGTATGATTGTGGATCGTTTTGAATTAGATTATAAATATTAGCCGATAACGATCTAATTGCGCGTTTCTTTTTGATGGATCCCCCAAAGTTTTGTTTCAATGAATCTTGTGTTGAAATGGGATTGTTATTGTTTACAAGATCATCGGGTGTTAAGGCAGGTAAAACCGGTTCTTTATTCGAGTCTTTTCTTAAATTTCTATACGCCAAGTCGTCTTTAACGACATTTGGTATTCTTTTATTTTTGTAAGTAAATTGTGGTGATGTTTCTGGTACGGCATGTAAATAATCGCTGTTTGGAGCTGGAAGAACCGGTCCAATTGGAATACCAAAAGGTAGTTGGGGATCAGAAACTTTTAACGTATTATTAGCATGCTTAATTGTTCTAAAAACAACATCATCCAATGTAACGTTAGGTTCTTTGTTATTTTTAGAATTAGTTATCTCCAAATCATTGTTGTGATGAATAGGAGAAGCTAATAAATAACTCACGCTTGAAATAACATCTTTAGGATCGGAAATTGTATGGTTTCTTTCTTTATGTAATTTCCTTAAAGCCATATCATCGTTTTTTCTGTCGGGATGTTTCGATTTTCTTACCATTTTTTTTCGTTTTGGGGAATCGATTGAATCAAATGGTTCATAACTAAAACTAGAATCACTGATTGCCCCTCTTGATGGTGGTCCCCAACCTGGGTAAGATTCAAGATTAGCTTCCATTATTTTTTTGGCGGCAATCGATTTTTCGCGTTCCTCAGCTCTCTCCAATAAATCCTCGTCCCCTAATCTTAAACTGTTATAAATCGCTTCAAGTTCATCTAAAGCGTCTTCGAGATTCGATGATTTCCTTTCGTTGGTAAATTCGTTCGAAATACTATCGCCATCAACATCTTTCGATCTAGAATCAACCTCATCGATTCCATCGTTTGGTTTAGATATCGGCTTAAAAGTATTCGAGTTATTTGTAATCGGTAAAAATATATTGGTACGAACTTGAGTTGAAGCCGTAAACATTTTTGGTCCATTTTGTTTCTTCCAATAATCGGTTGGTTTTTGAGGTTCCGCGATTTTTGCAACACGATTCATATCCTCATCGATTTTTTTCCAAAAATCGATTGCTTTTTTCGATTCGTTTTGGCAATGAATTTCATTTTTGTCTTGAATAAATATTGGTTTTCTGCTTCGAGGATTTCTATCGGCTAAGTATTGGTAGTGTTCGGATGCGTCAATACCACCAATTGTTTTTCTTATTATTCTTTGTTTTGGATGATCTGACGTGGCGGAAGCTGGGCGGGGATAAAATGGGATTGGGGAACATTCGGATGGGATGTGATCCTCAGATGTAGATCGAAAATTAGGTTTCCAATTAAATGAATGTGATTTATTATCAATTTTATGATTAGAGTTATCAATAAGTTGTTTTTGAGGGTTACGATCAAAACAATACGATATGGGTCTTGTTGATTCTTGGTTTTGGGGGTGGATGTAGACTCGCCAAGGATCTCGGGGTGGTGGAGGAGGAGGGTGTTTTTGTTTAATTAATAATTTCGGTTGTTCCACAAGACTTAGGTTTCGAAATCTTTGATTTGGTTTTACTATGGGTAACTGAGCATGAATTACTTCTGAGGAGGCATTTTTAGCTTCTGGGGATGCGGTTCTATTGATATCAGCGTCGTAGGATACGCTTCTTTGGTATCCAACGAATTCCCTGGGTTCGTTTGAGCTTAACGACCCTCCGTACCTATTTTGGAGGTTGTAGTTATTTATGGGAGGTTTTGTAAAGCTTGGACTTGAAACGTTTTCCCTACTATTTCGCTTCGAGTTGTTAATATGATGGTTTGGCGGAATCGTTGCTAAACCAGGGGTTTTAAAAATAGAATTATTTCTTTGAATTTTTGGACTATTTGGTTTTTCTTTTCTTGGCTCAGGTTGTAAAAATTTTCTGTGATAACCATTTTCAACGTCGGATTTAGGTAACTTTATATTGATGTATAATCCTTCTTCGTCTTTAGACAATCTTCTGATGTATCTTTCCGTTCTTGCAGCCCTCGATTTTTTGTTCATAGATCCATCGCGTAATCTATTAATATTTTCGTCGCTTCTTAACTTCGATGATGAAGATCGCTGCGAATCATCATCATCCGAACTACTCTCTTTCAAGTAAGTGTCCCTTCTTGCTTCCGCCCGGATTTTAGCAACATCTTTTCGGGTTCTTTTTAATAAACTATCAGCGGATCCCAATGAAGGTCTATCAATTCCATTTCTGTTTGAAACATCTCTCGATGTTTCCATTTTTGGGAGTTTTCGGATTTGTTGGGGGGTTCTTGAAAGGGTTCTTCCTTGATAGCTGCCAAATCCTCCAGTTGGGTCGGAAAGAATACCAGATTCATCAAAAAAGTATCCATTAGTGTATAAAGTATCCCTTTGGGGGACAACTATGTGATCAAAAGTAGGTCTTTGTTTATTCTTTTTCCGTTTTTCCGATTTCTTCTTCTTCCTAGAAAAGTACCCTTTCTTTTCCGGCTCCTCATCGCTACTACTATCGCTTTCCTCCTTCTTCTTCCGCCTAAACAAACTCCCAAAAGACCACTTCTTATCTTTTTTGGGAGGATGTTCAGGAAAATCGTAAGTTGTGGCCGACGTCTTCTTATTTAAAGTTGGTGAATTATAAATATGTTCTCTATAGTAAGGCAAGTCTTCTACGCTATTCATCTTGTAGTGGTCATCTTTAGTATAATAGACGTTGGTGTACGAAGACCAAGGTCTGGGTTGTGTACAGGCAACCTGAAAAACAACATAAACTGTAATCTACTTATAACTTAATTTAAGACGTGGTAAATTTTCTTTTGCTTATTTATTATTGCGGTATCAATTTAAACACAATATTAATAACCAATCCCGTACACCGTTCGAGGATTGCCTGGCCCACAAGATAAATATCCAATGGCTAAAATTAAACGTGCAATAATCACAAATGACTTGGCAGCCCAAACGTAGCAGGGCTGTACGAAAATATCCCGCGGGATCGACTGTTCTTAAAATACGACAAAGAGAGAAAGAGGGCCGAACTTATTCAACCCGTTAAAAACAAGGTTTCATTCATATATTTACTATTAGGTACGCTGTTTGGGAAAAGTGGGATTCTACAGCGTTCCAGTTTGGTTTAACTATAATCGGAAAGACCCATAAAACTACGACTTCTATTTTTAGAGTTTACGACAAAGCAGTAAATTTAGAATAAAAATGGAATTTGTAAAAAAAATTAAACAAAAACTAGGAAAATCAATAAAACTTTAAACCTGAAGATCTGTTTAATCTTTATGATTCATTTATTACACAAATTCTAGGCTGGTTTCCAAAAACCATTGCATAATTTTAACAGACACGATTTGTAAAGCAAATATGAATAACAGCGATAAGTTCGAACTGTTGAAATAGGCGAGTGAAGGTTTATTCATAATGCGTAACAACTTTTTTAATAAATTTTTTATAATTAAAAAACACTCACATCGTGGACATGTTTTCTAAAAGACCCTGGAATACACATTTTTTATGCCCAATATAAAGCAATTTGTGAAATAAAATTCCGCATTTCCTGCGTTACATAAACTCAAGTCAATTATTATGCGAGAAATTTATCGTTATAACCAGTCCTGAAACTTTCACTGGCACCGTTCGATTGCCGAAACAATAGCCCCGGGTTCCCCGTAATAGTAATTATACTGTAACAACATGATGGAAGTAAAGAAGGCCCATTTTGTGCGGTCGTTGCCACTGGTAAGTCGATAAGCTGATTATTTAGCTTACTAGAAAATATCCGGGAGGTATTCGTTCTTAACGGCCGAAGGATACTAACTGGACGTCGCGGTGTGCAATGTTCTTTCCTATCGATTACTTGAGGCAATTTGAGCCGGCACTGACCTACTTGACTGACCAATGCGGTCAGGCTAGTATCGATACTGCAGCAATTAACATTTTAGAACTCTTCTACAAATGGAAATTATTTTTGTTCGAAGAACATAATGCAAAAGTTAATGAAAACGTCATTTATAAAAGTAAATAAAAACTGGAACAATGGTCTTGATCTAAATAGTTTCTTCTCTCACGAAGATTAAGCATCTCAACACTGCACGGAAGTCCTAAATCCTAGCACAAGGATACGCCATGGTGAGATGCGAGGTCATACAAATGTGCCATTTATCTTAAAGTGTTTATTGATATTTTCGACTGCTAAACTGTACAAGGTAAATGTGACGGTATAAATTGCAAAAAAATGTTTATTAAAACATTTCCAAAATATACATTATATTCCCAGAAAAAATGGTGTACTGAGTGAATCACGAAAACAAGAGTTGTATATTTTCACATAATCGGCTTATATCAACAGATCCTAAAATTTCTTTTCGATACATTTTATTTTAAAAGCTCTTTGTATCATATTTTTATTCCAACATCCTGCGAGTGATAATAAATATTCAATCAAATTAATAATAATGTTGTTGTGTCGAGGATAAATACAACCAATCGATAGTAACGTAAGTTTAGTGTGAACAAAAGTCTCAATTTATTGCACTAAACGGTGGTTTCCAACTAAACCGGTTATGTGTATATTTAATAGAAAATAAATATTATGGTAAACGGAGCAAAGTTTAAAATAAGTACGGAAATAGAGTGAAACGTAATTTACTATCTAACAACAAAGAAAAGGATAGAAAGCAATCAATAAAAAGTCAACAACAAGGAAGGAAGTGATTTACTGAGCTAATTTAAATATAACAATCTAAGATGCGCTACAAATTACGGCAAATAAACTGTTTCACAGTGTAATCGATAGTACATTAAACAAGAAAACTGTCGGTGCTGTGATGAAAGCATAATTCATGATTTCAAAGGATCCAGGTTACGTACCGAATATTAGATTGAAAATAAAACATTTTTCGCAACACCACATTTCCATAAATTTGTCTAACACTTAAGAGTCAGCTAATTGAGAGTAATGGGAAAGTTAAGATAAAACCACGAGATACTAAAGAGAGGTAAACTTAATAACAAGTGGCCTTATCAACAAGAGATTGTAATCAACCGAATCAAAAACCTGCCTAAAATCCAATTACACCATCAATATTTTCAATGTATGTTATAGTTATGTTATCATATTTGCGAAAAATCGATTGCAATTTGTTCAAATTTACTTCATCTTTCGCCAATGTTATTTAAAATTACAACTGTTGATTAATTCTAGTAAACACTATTAGTTTCAAAAGTGTTGCAAACATGCAACTCTATTTATAGAAGCTTTACAAATAGCTTATTCAAACGATGTAGAGTTGGCAAACATTCATGTAGAACTCACTAAATTTTCGCAGTTAACACATGAAGATTATTTTGTGTTTAAGAATTGAGAGATAATTTATCAAGCAGCCGCAGTTACGAGCTACACTATAAATAGCCGATATATAAGGTTTAATGTGATGTGATCGCAGAAAAAATTGACATAACAGAAAAGTCTATATAGTGAAACATTCAAAAACAATAATTTTGCTTCAAATCTTACTCACATTGTGCTGATAAATAATTATATGCAAAATATGTTCTATTATGTTCTATTATTGGTCACAGCAATTCTTATTATTCAATAAATTCAGAAACGCAAATAATTTTTTCGTAGAACACCCTAAAAAATTATTTCCTTGCTATTCTGATATTATCTGCATATATGGTTGGGAACATTATTATTCATTGGAATGGCAGATAGTATCACCAAGTAGCAGACAATTTGTAATCTCTCCAGCTTCTTTATTTGAATGCTTAGATGATTCTCAGTTTTTGCTAGCAATTCTGTAAGCATTAATCTAATAAATATCTTCTTCCTAACTTACTTTCTTGAAAACTGAAAACAACCTTTCCAATATTGAGTTAGTGAGTTACAAAACCAAGTACGTTCTACCTATATTGTGGCCCCATTTTGGTTCAATTTGTCAATATTCTGGTTTCTAGTTAGATCTTTGGCTCGACTTAGTTTTCGAGTTATGGAATTATTTTGGACCAACATGAATGTCTTCCCCGTTACAGAAGCTCCTTTTTCAGAAACAGTTGGCCCTAATATTAATGATGATCTTGCGACTCCAATAGACCCTTTTCTGGAGTGGTGGTTCATGATCTGTTGGAGTTGAACCCAACTTTTATGCCACTCAGAAACGTATTGACAAAGGAGCGTAAGGATTTAAAACAACAACGATTGAAAAAATAAAAGCATTAAAACATTATCATGGGCTTACAAAACTGCCAAGTACAAGAGCTTTTTGGTCAGAGATGACCACAAGATGAAATCAGCGATCATTACATTTCGAAAGCTGCATTCAGGATAAATTTCTTTGATTGTAAACACACTTGCTCTTCAAATTGTATTCACCTCAAGCTGTTTTGAAAGCTTTCTTTATGCTTATCTCTGCTTTCAGCACAATCTTCATTTGACTTTCACCTTTCTTTATCAACTAAGCTTCAAAGCTCTCGTACACCTCTTCTTCCACCATAGTTAGTGCGAAAATCCGGTTGGTGACGGTTTGCGTTATCTTTTCCTACATCATCATCATTTTTTTACAGTAATTAAAATCAGCAAATCCAACATTTAACCCTACTCAAGGTGATCATGACGAGGTGCACGATATAAATCCGACAAAGTACGATCAACTGTATATATTAAAATAGTTTTACAATGAGAAAACTAGAAAAGTTTTATTTCCACAGATCCAAAACGATAATTAAGATAACAATTGTTAATTTAATAATATTTTATAACATCCCATTATTTATTATGTTTACAAGAATATTCTTCAAGCCAAAGTTAACAACTTTTCTTATACAACGTGTAGCAAGAAAAAAGAAGCTCGAATACAATGGATACTATATTTATCACATTTGCGATTATATCACATCTTACCTTTGTAGATTTAAATTAGGAGCCAACTCGTTTACGCAACCTTGGATCCGTTCATATCGTAGTTCAAACATACACTCAATTATAACGAATTTACCCGTTTTATCCTCTGTAAAATTTCGAATCACATTGTACATACATCAGGGTCATTTTTTACTTTTCTTTTAATCAGTCCGGAGAATGCTTTGGTTCTTCGCGCAAATTATTATTGGACAATAGGTAAATTATGCCGTTTCTATACCTATTGTAGTTATGCAGAATTTTTTCTATTTTCCTCTTTCCGAAGACAATGAGGGAAGCAGTGGATTAGTGAACAACCGGAGCTCTGTACAGCTTAAAAATTTCTCCTCGGGCGGTGAAAAGAAGCCAAATTTAAATGGGATGTATTGAAAAGAGGTGAAAGTCGAAGTTTAAAAGTATAGCAAGAATAACCTAGTACAAAACAAATCTGAAATTTGAAACAACAACCTTGGCCAGTCCTAAAAATACGGGAACATCGTTTCAAGCGGGAGATTTATTTTTGTGACATGCCGATGCTTATAAAGATGTTTCGAATACCTTCTTAATTCTATCGGAACAGATTACGTTATCTGAAAGTAAAAAAGACGTTCAGAAGCAAAAACCAAGAAAGTAATTTAGATAATATGGTAAAACGACGCAAACACGTAAATTGGTAAGTATGTACATTTTCTCTTTGATAGTGTGGTGAAACCAAAGTGCGTTTCGTTGAAGCAAAGGAATGTTGATGATGGTTAATAAGAAGAAATATTCGAGAATACTAGTATAGAATTTTGCGGCCATAAATTCTTGTTCATTGAACTTTACGAGATCTTTTCAAACCTGCTAC